AGCAAGGGGGGAAGTTCATGTGGTATGGCATGGTGGTATTGGTACAGTGCAGTGGGGTGGCACAACTGAGGTGCAGCACAGCCTGTGGGCTGTGTTGTATGCACCCCTGTAGTGTGTGGCTTGGGCCACTCAAGTTGAACACCCCTGGACTACACAATGGAAGGGTTTAAAATAGAAAGGAAAGGGATAGAGGGAGAGGACACTGTTGAGAGAAGCAAACAAGTGCATAGATTAGAGAACTAGGAATAAATATCTTGAGGGATATTGGAGTTAACAGCTGCAGGTAACAACTAGTCTAGGTAATGGAATAAGAATCCATAGTCTTTGCTGAGACCATGTGTAACACAATCCAGTATCTGGACCTAGGGAGAGAAATTACACAGAAACCAGTATAAATGATTGGAAACTGGTTCAAATCTGTAACAAAACTGAAGTTCAGTGCACATAAACTGCTCCCAAAATGGCCCAAACCAGTTTAAGATAAACCTGGATGGATGTTGTATGAGGCATAACTGATTTAGGTGAAATCAGTTTCTTGAACTTTTGTCCCAGATCATCTCCAGATTCAAGTCAATTCACAGTCTCCCAGGATACTTTGCACTTCCTCTGCAAACTGACCCCCCCACCTCCCCTTAGGGTATGGGTGGGCTAACCCTGGCCCAGACTGTCTGCTCCAGTCAAGCAGGGAGGCATGCTCTAGAACCCCCCTGCTTGTGGTCTGGGCTGCTGCAGGCATGTGGCTGCATTTCTGGAATCAAAGGGGAATGTCTGTTCACTTGATTATCGGTTCAATCGATTCAGTTTAGATTAACCTGAAAAGACTGAACTGATTCAGCCTTGGGCTTTTTGACTATCTGTTCTTAGCCTGGATGTCTTGTTCTGCAATTTTACTTTCAAGTTGGTTTTTAAAGTTTTATTGTTTAAGGTGAGGTCAGTGTTGGAATGTGCAGGGAGGTTAGTGTCCTATCATTTTAAAGTGTTCTGCGATGGGCTTTTGTCTGTTTTTGCAGATAAAAAACATTCCTTATACTTCATCATTACAAAACATTGTATCTGTGCTGGGATAATGAGACCTTTTTTCCCCTTTTCCTCCAGAAGAGTATATGTTCTTGGCTGAGTTTGATGAGAGAATGACTGGTGAGTTCTGAATTCATATTCTTTAGTTTAAACATTCACCATTTTAGAATGTCAACTTATATATAGTAGTTGATTTCTTTCATAAAAGAGGATCCTTTTCCAAAAGAAAAAAAAATAGTTTAAAAGGCGTGTTTGAAATATTTGTATATTTTAAGTGAGGGTTTTTAAAATGACGTTTCCCATTTGGACATCCAGAGCTGAGCTCCAGTAATGTCATAGCTGAGAGGTGCTTTTGTTAGTAATTCATTTTAGGTTACCTCATTTTAGGCTCTGTCATTCATATTGTGGTAAATGGAAAATAGTAAAGCCTTATAGATGTTTACTGCAGTGTTTTTTTTTTTTAGGCGTGGTTTCTTATGCAAAGATTATTTTTGATCATGTGTTTTGGGTATTTTTGTTCTCTGGTGGGAAAATATAGATAACTAGCTGTTGATTTTTAAAGTATGGAGGAAGCACACATCGTAGAAGATCATCTATTATTTTAGTTGCTCCTATTAGCTCTTAGTGTCTAAAAGGACAATATGGCTTAACTTGTAGCTTAAAGAACATTTACAAGGTTTTTCACTATTTAAAACCTGACTCCTATTTGTATTGGGGCATCAACTCATTGAATATTGTTATTCAATAACAGGTTATTACATTTTTCCAAGTTTCATCAGACTGGGTTCAAATCCATGACCTTCTCAATGATTCCATGAGCCAAACTGGGGCATGGAGTTAATTAAATTGGAAATGGCAAACAGTTCTAAATATATCCACTAGCTTATTAGGCGCTATGTTAGCATGGCAGAACAGTGTAACAACACAGATCAGAATGATTACACTTGTTACTGGGAATATCCTTTTTGTTCCTGTTCTACTGAGGGACAATTTCAGATCTCAGTCATGAATGCGGGAACTTCTCATTTCCAGGAGCAGAGCCAGAATATGAGAGAGGAGGATTTAGTCCTAATCATTCTGCTGATTTTGTTGCAAGGCCTGGAGTGTGTTTGTTTGTTCCATTTAGAATTTGTACTGCAAATCTTATTATAAATAATCTGCACATTATATGCATTGTACACAGCGGGTAGAATCTACCATGGCAAATTCTCCAGTTTAGACACCATGGTTTTAGCCAAGAATGAAGCTAGTTTGTGGTACAGAACAGTATGTAACAGTTTCCCCAAAAGAGACATTTCAGAGCCTCCCCAATCTCTCTTTTAGATATATTCTGAACCATTTTTTGTTGTTTTAAACTGATTATTGGAGTGGCATAATTACTGGCATTGCAGTACAATTGTTTGACTTGTGGGCGGTAAACGGAATAACTTTAAACTGTTTTTATTCCTATATATTCCTCTGTATTGGTTACTCACCAAACTTTATGTTAATTTTGTGTTTGCCACATTAAGGCATTAAGGTTTTTATGAATATGGGCCAAGCCACGTTTCTGTGTTATTTTTCTGGTTTCTTATTGTAATGGCCTTTGATTCAGGTTCCTTGTAAGTTTTTGTTACATTCTCACTCCTATTGTATCACTGAAGACTCTTTTTAGAATGATTATTTATTTATTTATTACTATATCTTCATGTTGTCTAAATGCAGAGAGCCACATCCATCCCCAGTATAGCTCTCTTGAAGGTAATGCTTGGATCAAAGTGTGTCCTTTTTAACTGACTCTAACTAAATGTTAACTGAAGGATCTCTTGACTTCTCATGTTTGATGTTACTTACTATGGGATGTTTTATTTGTGGTACATTAAGCTGTTTCAGATGCTGATGACATACAAGATTAGTTGTGAACAAAAAGCAGAAAACAATGGCTAGTAAAGTCAACCACAGCCATACAGTCTTCATAGTTTTAAATCTCTACTGTGAGTACAGTTGCTCAAATTGTGTTTTGAAAGAAGGTAGTGCTTTTAAAGGGAAGTAATAACTAGCAAAACATTATAGGCATTATCAGTTTTCAGTGCTGTTTCTTTATAGCACTCAAAATAACAATGGGACAGACTATTCCACCCTGTAGACCCCTTTAGGGCTCTAAAAAGAATTACATTCTCTCTTGGTGTCCTTTTTCTTTCCTACCTTGTTTCTTCTCTTTCTATCCCTCTCTTTGCCTTTTGTTCATAAGGGCCTGACTTAGCTAGCCAAAATGGTCTCTGTTCCAACACTGCTGTTAGTCTGTGACTGAAAAGGCAGCTAGAAGTATTGTGTGAAACAGCTCAACTTTCTAAAGTCTTGGTGTACCTGAAAAGACCTTTTCATGATCCTGTGTTTCTGCAGAATTGAATCTGCAAGTCAGAGTTAATGTAGACAAAAGATGTGTTTTTTCTCTTTGTTGTTTCTTTCTTGCTGTCCTTCTGTGTCCATCTGGGTTTATTTTGGAGAAAGCAAAATTCTGACTTTATCAGAACCAGCTCCAGCTCATCTCAGTGAGCTTTTTTTCCTTTTCTGCAAGAAAGGCATCTTTTATACTGTGTACAAAATGTCAAACCAGGAGTTTGGTTGTAGGAAAATGATGTAAGCAACATGGTTAAAATAGAAGCTGTTCTTAATTCAAAATCCTTAGCTGTTTTTCTTTCTTTTTCTGTATCTTTAAAAATCTTTCAAATCATTCATTAATACTGATTGTTGCCATGGGTTTAAGCACAGTGAGATTTTTCATACTCAGAACCCCAACCACATTTAATTGTTGAATGTCATACAACAGGGTCAGGGTCATGTTAATTCCTTTGACACTCTGAGCTCATTTATTCCATCAAAATTAGCACAACACCTATCAAGAAACATCAAGTTAAAACATATCTAAAGCATTAGTTGTGAATTCTTTAAACATTTACTTAAACTTTAATATATTAAAATACAAAATAGGAATAAATTACAATTCACAATTTCTTACAGCATTTTATTAAGAACAAATTATTTGTATAGACTAGATCTATATAAATAAATCACAGTACATTTTACTGGTGTTTAGAAGAATGTTATACTTTTTTTATAAAATTAAGAAATTGAAATGTATTTATTTTATCCCTCAACCATTACTGCAAAAGAATCATGCATTATCTCTACTGAACAAAGATAAAGTCCACCTAACGGAGAGAGTCCGGATAAAGATGTGACTCTACTCTCCAAAATTAGACATGAAACACAGATATACCAGGACTACTCATTGAACAAGAAAGAGTAAAGTATAATACAATGTTCATGTGTAGTAAAATCAAAGTTATATCAAAACAACACAGTTCTCTTTACACACCTTTGCAATGAGTGTTAAAAAAAGAAAAGAATGACAACTGTCCAGCATGCAGCTGAAAAAAAACATTCCAGTTTTAGGGATGCCTAAGTTTGGCCAAAGGATAAGAGGAACTAAAAAAACCCAGACAAAATGGAAAACAAACAACCTGGATGCTTCCAGTCCCCTCTGTGTTCTTCCCCTCCGCGCCAGGGCTGTTACACTTAGTAGCTGGGATGGGTATTCCTGAAGTTATCCTTCCTGAGTGAGGTCCATCACTGCCATCTGGATTTGTACATTTCTCGTGCCTTCAAGGAGAGGGAGGTCCTTTCAGAGAATTGCAGGACCCTGGAGTGCTTCCAACTGTAGTTCCTTGCCCAACCCACTGTATTAGAAATTACCTTTTAATTCAGTTCTTGTAGCTATTCAGCACTGAATGCACAGTTCCACTTAAAGTATAATTCACGTTTGCACAGCTTGGTTCACATGCTGTAAGGCTTGTCACTTCAGAACAGAATTATGGTGCAAGCAAGAACCTTAGTTTGTTACAGCAGGAATCAAGGTGAAGCAGACTCTCTCTAAGCATCTGTTACAAATGCTGCTCTGCTGCTGGTTTTTTCCAGCACAAGTGCTTTTTATCAAATTGTACTGTTTTACAGATTGCTTTTGCTATATATATTTTATTATAAATAACAATGCCACTGTTTTCCCATTTGATTCTGAGGTGTAGTCATTTTACAATGCATTGTGCTAAACAGAAGGAAAGAACATTTAATTGAGGACATTTCAGGTTGTCTCTGCCGAATTTAAGGTTTTAAAAAAAAAATTCCACCGTAGTTGAAACGTATGTATAAACAATACCTGAAATTACACTCTTCTATTTCTAAGTAGGTCAAACAAAATATATTTTTAAAAGATTCCCTTCTTCTGTCAGCTGATTGTTTAAGCTCAAGAGTTTCCAGTAGTTTTTGCTTTTTATGGCAAAATGATTCCATTAATATTTTAATACTGTCAAGGGACATAAGTGTGAAATACATCTATAATGCCTCTTGATTTGTGTGACTTCAGTGATCATACAGTGATAGGTAATATTGAATTTTAAAATGTCTTCTAATTCCCTTGAAGATATCTGCTCCTTTATCCGTGTTACCCGCAAAACAAAAAGGCTGAAAATTAACCCTCATTTCCTGTGCCCTAGGTCTCTGATACTGTGTATTTAGCTCACATTTGAGCTGTTATCTTTTATTGTCTCCAACCTCCACTAAAACCAATCAAACTCCTTCTAACTTTTTAAGTGAGACTGAGTTCAGATCAGTGTATAGCAGGCTGTCATTACATCTTTCATGATCACTGCTTAGATCAGCTGTCAAAGAATGACTAGTAAGACAAGGTTCTTTGGGTGAATCTGATCTGTTTTATTAGACCAACTTAAATAGTTGGAAAACAATTTTTTAGCAAGCTTTAAAAATTGTTTTCCAACTATTTAAATTGGTCTAATAAAAGATACCAGATTCACCCAAAGAATCTTGTCTGCCTATGTCCTTAGACCAGCACGGCTACAACCTACACCCCTATGGACTGGTAACATATTTATCATCAGCTTGAGATGTGTTTCTTCTGGTTTTCCCCTGGAAGCACCAGAGGGCCCTGGATATGAAGGTTTATGTGCATCTGTCTGTTCAAAGTCCAAATTTAAGTTTTATTTACAAAAAAAAAGTTTTTTACAAAACCAAATAATAGCCAGAAGTTTTTAAAAAAGTATTTTAACATTCTCCTGCAGCAGTGATGTGCTATCAATATTTTATCAATGGATTTCCACAATTTTCTACCTAGCCTGCAACAGCCTCAGTCTGAAAGGAACTCACATACTTATTTGTCTTCCACTTCAAACAATTGTGCTTTATAGCAGGAAAACAAAGCAGTGGGTAAATCTTGGTCCCATTGAACTTGATGGCAAAACCTGAATTAGCTTTTGCCCATTGGCTCTTAGTAAATGCACTTATATTAAATGTATACAGGAAATATTTTGCTTTGTTCCAGAAAACAATATTGACTAAATAGGTAGCACAGTACAGGGTTCAGCATAACCTCAAGCAGTGGTAATATGAAAAAATTGTGGAACTATATCTATAGATGGTTTCCTCTGTTGACAAAATTTTTTTGGATATTACTGTACCTGCTGTTTGGGAAGTCGGACTCAGAAAGGGAAGGGGGACTGCAGTAGGGTCAAAGGTAGCCCATCCCAAGTCACCTGTTAGTTTTATAGTAGAATATAACAGTGGTTGCTCTCCATTCCTGCCACTGTAATGCTACCCTGTGGTATTGGAAAACCACTGTAGCATTGGGCTAGTGCAGAATGTGAAATTGCCTAGCCTAGTGAATCTAACTGTCTAAGCTCAGTGAAGTACAAAGGTAGATAAAACATATATACCTAGAAATAAAGTTAACCATGTCCTGAAGAGTTGGGTGGTTGTGCTAACCTATCTCGGGCATTTAAAAAATATATACAGTGTTGCCATCCCCAAAGCCTCACAATTCAAATACCAAGTGGGAGATTATTAAGAAAACTCATATATGTTGGGTTCTTTGTCTTCACCTTCTGAGTCCTGAGCTTTTATGGTACACTGGGGCCATATATTGTCTTTAAACTTACGTTTCTTCTTTAATAAAGCTGAGACTCTTATTCAGTCTGTTGATACCAGCAACCAGGGCCTTACGTAAACGCCAACCATTGTGAGACTGGCAGTAAAATTGCAAAATTAGGCAGCACTGAATATATGACGTTTATGTTGACACTGCCCCTATAAAATGCTGGAGGTGTTCTGTGCAGAAGAAGTTCTGTGAAGACTCCTACGTCTATCGAAAGAGGGACAACCTGTATCACAAACATCCCTTTCCACTGCTGTAACTAATCCTGGCATTGCACTGGGAATAGTAGTTAAACTAGAAAATTATGCAGGCATCTACTTTGCATTCCAAGATGGGACACACAAACTGATTGTCCAGGGACTTAAAGGAGTTTTCCTTAATAGACAAATCCTGTACTCCTAACTCAGGTGAGACTTCTCCTACTGATCTTTATTAAATACTTGAAATTAAACTGACCTAGAAGGATTTGAGGCAGGAAGTTGCATTAACAATTGAACCTTTAGTGAAAGTTTATTTTAGTCCAGTGGTTCTTGTTCTATGTTGTATGTGTCCTGGCCTGGATCTGGCAGGTAATGTGATCAGTTTTTAAATGTCTGGTATTAGTCAGTAGTTGCCACGTAGTTTCATCTAATTAAGATTCCCCGCCCCCCCGAGTTTTTTATACACAGTACGTCTTGGAAAATTATTTTCATACTACACAACACTGCGTGTCAGTGTATTAAGGAGAGAGAACGTTTATACAGCATAGCCACCTGTGGTGTGCTTGTCTCTTTTTAGTGTTATGTATTTAATTGAGAAACAGCTGTTGGAAATTCATCTGCAAAGAGTAATGAGGATTTACAATTTACATAATACTCAAACCATTCCATTTTTACACAACTTTCTGAAAGATTATACTGTCACCTAAGATTGACAACTGCATTTTATTCTCACCTAATCAAGAGTAGCTTATTTTAATTTTCTTAGATGTTAAGGACCTTTAGGCGGGAACCATGTTAGCCCTGAAGAGACAAGAAGAGACACCAGTCCTGACTGGGGCTTGTAGCCATGACAGTACCAGAAATGTTGGATGATCTAATTCTTAAATAAATTGATTTGTAAGTATATTCATTACAATATTCTCTCTTTCTCTAGAAACCTATTGACTGTAAGAATCAGCTTGGTTGCTACACTTCGCTAGAAATGCCCCATGCTTGGTGATTTCCAGAGTTATGATATTAATTGTTACAACCAAGCTACCCTCCGTGATCCCATGAAAGAGGCACGGACATGGTTTGCCTTCTAAATCTGAGCAATGCTCATGACTATACAAGTAATTCATAGGGAACAACAGAGGCCAACCAGGGTTTACTTTTACAAGTGGATAACAGACTAGTTAAGCAATTGACTCTTCACATTGTTGAAAACTGAGGGTCCTATTCAGCAAATATTCAGTATCCTAGGGCACTAGCCACAGAGGCTACAGAAGTTTCAGCAACTCGTGGGTGTAATCCTGATTCAAGGACCAAAATTATGATGGTATATGTACATATATCTCATCATATCTTGGACACACTTGATTCCTGAGAATTACAGAAACCTGCATCTTGTTAATCCAGATATATGTAAAATGACCCGTATTAATGACTCAGATGAACATGTACTGAGAGAATAGTGATGTCTATAAAAAGGGTAGACATGTCAGACTCTAATTTCAATACCGTTACAGTTCATCATGCTCAAGAGGGAAACTCAAGCTGTATATACTAGTCTGGACAACCTCTGCCAATAGGCATTTTCCAGGTTCTGGGTTATTGTGGGTCACTTGTTTTATCAAGTCACTACAATCATTATTTGTCTACAGTTAAGAGTTAGGTGATCTGTTTTTAACACCCAATCAGAACAAAGCATTATTTTGTTCTTGCCTCTTCTGAAAAGGTATATAAAGCTGAAAAGGTATAAAATGCCACTGATAACAAGGAATAAGGCTTTAACCAGTTTCCATCTTCTCAATGTGGATACAATTTTGTGTGCTCAACACTTCTTGGACTTATACATGGAGTGATAGGTCTTGAGCAGGCATTCATTTCTAGTGGTGGAAAATTCTGAGAAATTTCCACCACTAGAAATCTTTCAGGGAGAGGAAGCAGTACAAGCATTTATCCTGCACCTGTCCCTTCTTCCCTGCTCTCCATGCCTTCCCCAGATCAGGGTGATTCTAATCTGGAGAAATTATGGGGGACAGTGGCTACTCCACTTCTCCTGGTCTAGAGAAAACTTCCCTGCAGGCCCAGCTTCATATTGCTGCCACTGCTACTCAGCAAGGTAGTGAAGGGGCTGCAATTTAAGATGTCATGTGAGGGTGAAGGAGCTCTCTAAACATAGGATGTTAAAATCTGTCACCGGATGGCTCTTAAACTGCTACCTCTGCCTAACTGGTGGCAGAAACGGCAACATGAAGCCAAGGGCATGGGGGAGTAGGCTCATGGAAACTCTCCCTAAGCTCGTTTTCTGCCCCAATCTGCTTTTAAATCACTGCCCCCATTATGAAGCCATGGGTACAGGGAAGCAAGCTGAGGGGGTCCCTCAGCTTCACAATGCTGCCCAGCTGGGTGGCAGGGCTGGTGAATTCAAAGCCAGGAGAGCCAGAACTATGCTTGGGGGTAGCCTCTTAAGCAAAGGCAACTGGTAGCAGAGGTCCGGGGGGGCAGGCATGTGCCCCTCCTGAGATTGGCTTCCAACTTGGCACTGCTCAGGACAGGGAAGTTTTTTTGCCGTGTGGGCCAGAGGTGTGTTGGGAGGGGAGGGGACTACACCATGGCACAGAAGTATAGGAGTATAGCAGTGGATATGGACTTTTGGCCCACCCCCAGGCCCTCCCTTAGACCCACCCACAAATTGTGTCCCCCCCAGACTCAGGAGGCACCAGTTACCCCTGCTCTTAAGCCTGGTTCTCACCCATTTTGCAGCACTGTCATCCACCTGGCAGTTCCCTGTTAGGGGAAGACCAGGATCCTTACTGCTGCTGCTCCTCCCCCATCCCCAACCAGTCCAGGAGGGGAGGGGAGCAGCAAGGCAAAGTCTCCAGCCTGTTCCCCAAACCATGCAGTTCATGGTTTGGGGAAGAGGCAAGGAGGGTGTGCCTGCCCTCACTTCTTGGACCAGACTGGGAAGGAACCATACAAGCATTCACTCTTGCAGGAGAGTTCCTCTTGTAAGGGAAATCTTCCATGTTGACACCTGGAAAATCTTTCTTTTGGAAGGTGCATGTTTCTCCCAGTAGATATTGAATGAATACTTGTAATTTATATCAGGAAAGCGACAATTCTCCACTTAGATATGTAATGCCTATACATAGCTATGATCTTCTACACCTTTGCAAAGCTTGTGTAAGGGTGCCACAGGCATATTGGCACCATCCATGTTCTAAATAGGCCCTGTGGAGTTCTGAAGGCAAGACAAAGTCAGTGAACACTTTGAGATCCCTATCATGAAGACTGTGCTGCAGTAGCTCTAAGGTAGTCTTTTAAGCAGTACTAATTGTGATCAGTCCTGGAGATGTGCCATTTCTAGAGCGCCCAGGAGTTGCCAATTAGCTACTGAAACTTATATTTGACATCTGCACCCAAGCAGAATGCCAATCATTGTATATAGCTAGAGTTTCATTCTAGTACATACAATGTGCCCAATAATCATATTTCTGCAAAACTCACTGGCATTACAGGTTAGGTCAGAGTTAATAATATCAGCAAGATGATCCTTCCTAGCATTCTGCACTGGGAGCTGTTATGCTAGATGCTAAAACAGGTTACCACATTTATATGTGCGAACCTTTACAAATTAGTGTGACCAGGTTAACCTTCTGAACTTAGCTGCTGCATCTTACAATAAAAGTAATTCATAGGTAACACCAGAGTCTTATCATGGATTACATTAGATTTGCCTAAGTAAGAAGTAAACTATTGTAATGTTCAGAAATCAAGATATGACTCTGTCTGTGATGAATTTTCGCATCTCCTGAATCAGGATTAGTATTCCTTAGCAAGTGAAGAGAGCAAGGGTAAGACAGAGGGGTTAAAAGGATATTTTTACCCCTTTGGACTCTCTGCAGAATGCCCCTGAGGAAATGCCTAATAGTTCAACAGGAATGCCAAATTTCTGCTGAATAGGTTAAAAGGGTGAGGAAGCCTCTTCGGCAGCCATCCATGCGTAGAAGGCCTGCATAACATTTCTGCTGAATAGGGCCCTAAATGAAGACAAAAGAAACATAGGAAGCCAACTGTAACTTGAAAAGCTTTTCTGTTTGTGTGGTTTCTTCTAATTGCATTTTTTTCTATTCCAAGGCTGATTTCATTTTCAAGACAATTAGGCATCAGTTTGGGTGTGCCAGTGGAATAGAAATAAAATATTACAAGAGAACAATCCATATTTGTAATAACAGCCTAACTTTTTATTTAATTGTACCTTAGCAGATCTAAACAGATCCATCTTGTTTACTATTGAAAATGACCCCATTTTTAATGTTATAAAAAACAGTGCTATGTAGAAGACTTGGCTTTTAATTTTGCATTTATAAAAAAAAGTTTGAAATATTTTACATCCCACTGGAAATGAAAGGAACTGGTTTCATGCCATTTTAAACATAGGGGTTTCACAGCCTTCTCTGGGTTTAGTCTATGTACCTGGTTCCTACTTGTTTAACTCACAAGAGTTTGTTCAACTTTTAGTTTCACAGTAATGAGCTTTTACAATTACAGCAAAGATGGATGGTCAGGAAATTGCAATCTTACCTCTGCAAGCGGATGCCAGTGAGCAATGGGTTTCCGAGGATACGAGAGCATTTCGTTCCAATGGTCTCGCCCTAGGCTTTCTGCATCGTTGCCTACTTGACACACTCCGATGACCTCATTGTGACCTACACTGTGAAAATGTTCCATAATATTTTTTTCTTAAAATTTTACACTTGGAACAATATAATTTAAATTCTCTACAACAGACAATAATCAAGGGTGGTAAGAATTAACTCCTCTGGAAAATGTACCAGTGGAGGTCAAACTTTTTGGCAGGTGTGCCACAAATTATCCCTTCAGCCTTCCCAGGTGCCACTGTGATCCTCTTCCTCTGCCTGATCTGCTGCTCTGCTTTCTGCTACCTGCCTTGTGCTGCCTGCTCTGCTTTCTGCCCTATCTGTTGCTGTGCTGTCCCTTCCCTGATATGCTGCATGCCACACACAAAGGCTGCCCATGCTACTTGTGGCATATGTGCTGCAGGCTGGCTACCCCTGAACTATACAATAGATAAGTTTGAGATTCATCCACATCTTCACAGATAACCTACATAATAATAATTTCCCTTTTTATGGCCCTTTGTTTCTGTTCATTTTCTATGAAGTAAACTGATACTTGGACTCCTATTTGCCTACACTCCCCTTCTAATGAATACAGAAGTTCAGTAGTATTTGAAAAAAGCTAAGATTAACTACTAATCATTCTTGCTCTGAATCCAGCCCATAGCTATATAAGACTATTCTGATACGTAAGATATCTGAAGAAATAGGACATCTTTTCAAAGGCACTTATTTGCAAGTAAAGTATACTATATGCCATACTTGCAAAAATGCTTTTATGCTTCTGAGGAAATAGCATTTAGTCCATAAAGGGCCATTCAGAATGCTGATGTTCTACTTGAATATTTGTGATGTTCTTGAATATAATCTTAATATTTATGCAAATTAGTCATAAAGTAGATGGGTGCTATTCTGGATCTCAAAAACTAAGGAGGAAATGCTGTCTCACAGTACGAAGAATTGTCTTCATTTGCTGAAGCCTGCATGGCAAAACATTTTCATTTCCCAGAAATGTAGAGAAAACTATGGTAATTTGTGTCATTATTTTATAATCTGTTGGTTTATAAATTCTTGCATCATAGATTTGTATCCAATAATAGCTACATTCATCTCACCGGTCATAATCCATAACAGCTATCGACAAGTTAATTTGGTCAATGTTTTCCGGAGGGACATCAAAGACTATGGCTTCATTGTAAACAGGATTAAGTGTATTCCTCTTAGTGGAAGTTTTCCTCTTCTTTAGTCGCCTTCCTTCACACATTAAAGAAACCTTCACATAAGGATCTATATGAATCATAATAAGATGCTGGTTGATTTAAAAAAATAAAAACGCAAATGCAAAGCAAAAAGAGTAACCTTATATATGCATAGTTTATTTACATGTACCTAAATGGAATCTTAATGCCTTATTAATGAAATGTCTGCGAGGCACTCACAATTTAAAAGGTTTTTCCTCGTTGAATGCTTATAATGAACAATTAACGTGTTTGTTCAGGAAGCTGTTTCTTCCATACTGTCTTCTCAAAGAGCATGAACATTTCCACTAACTTACAATATGCATTCCTGTGTTCATAAGAGCCTGTGCAGCTGATAACTTTTACAGCTTTTGTAGAATCCTGACACAATAAGAATATTAGTGGCAGTAGTAGTGTTCACTGGTATTTGGTTAATTATATTAGGCTGTAAACAGAGGTTGACTACTTTGTAATGCCATAAAAATGTTTATGGCACAAAACCCAAGTGAACAGGCATCTTCACCCTTTGCTGCACCACAAATACCTAAATTGTGTGAAAGTGACAATGCTACTCATAATTTATGTCACTTTTATGCAGCCAATGTCTGTTCGCTTGCATCTGTGGGTGCCCACATTCTCCAGTCACTTGGGCAAGAGTTCTCAGGGCTTCAGGGGACATATCCTGTGAAGCAATGGCCCTGGATACCTCACCCTAACATGGGGCACATGTCTTCAAGTGGAGGTTCCCTGGTTGCAGATGTGTGCCCCAACCTGGGACTGGGCAGCAAGAAATGCATGATGAGGGAATCCCTATGTAAGGGATTCCTGTGACATAAGTCTGCAAGTGAGGAGGGGTAGGGACCTACCAAAATCATGGCAGAAGTGCACTATACAGCAGCTCCTTTAATCTTGCTCATTTTGCTGCATGCCCCCCCCCCATGACTGGTGGAGGAACCCCAGCAGCCTCACTGCTTGCTGCTGATCAGCTGGGAGGAAAAAAAAATGCAGTTTTAAATATGCCATGCTTTTTGCCTCCTGGTCAATCAGCAAGTGGTGCGGGCACTGGGGCCCCTCCACCAATTAGGTGGGGGAGGCACATGGCAAAACAAGATTAAAGGATCTGCTGCTCGGGACTGAATGTCTATGAAATCTATGCTTAGTGGACTTCTGCCGCAATTTTGGTAGGTCCTTAGAGGAGCAGGGAACTCACATAAGGGTTCCCCAGTCTGTGCCTGCAGACTATGATGCAACCTAGGAGTGGTCTGCAAGCACGGAACGGAAACTCCTATAGGAGTTCCCCCCCACTCTGTGTTTGCAATCATGCAGATTCCTCAGTGCACATTTCTCACTGTGGCACCCTGCACAGTCTGCAAACACAGAAGGAAGAACCTGCTTGGGTCTCAGTGTACACTATAGTTAACAGTGCAGTCTGTGGATGATTTATTTTTCTGCAATTTCCTCTTCAGACTTGTTTTTAACATTTTGTTCTCTAGGAACAGCCACTCTGTAGTCTGTGATGGAATTTTCAGGGAGGTTAAAATATTCTGCCATGGACTTTTTGGCATTAATGTGAGATGGGTGTTCATTCATTCTTCCATGTAGGGATTTTCCTATCTGTCCAATGTAGATAGCAGAGGAGCATTGTAAGCAGGTGATGGCATATATGACATTGGTAGAAATGCAAGTAAATGAACCTGGGATGTTATAATCTGTGTTGTTTGGTCTAGTGATTATGTGCTTTGTGTTGATGAGAGGGAACAGCTAGCATCTGAGTCTGGAGCAAGGTCCGGTGACTTGGTGAAAGGAATGGTTAGGTGGTCTGATGCTGGAGAGACACAGTTTTGAGGCTGTAAGCCAAAACAGATTTGTCCTCCCTGGCTACTAGGAGGCAGTCATCCTTTTCCAGGAGCAGTTGGAGGTCATTAAGGATGTGTCTGAGATGCTCAAGCTAGGGGCTGCAGGTGACAACCAAAGGGATTCTGTTGTTCTTGTCTCAGGGTTGGTATTGTAGGACCTTGGAGCAGGGTCTGAGTCTGGCTATTTTGATTTGAGTGGCTACAGTTTTAGGATTGTAGTGTAATTGTAGGGATCTTTGCTGCATATCAGTAAGGTATGCATCACAGTCAGTGGAATCAGAGAAGATCTGGTTGTAATGTGGAGCTTGGGTGTAGACTGGGGGTGAGCAATTATTTTGGCTGGAGGGCCAACCACTTAATGAGTTTTGGGGACCTGTTGAGGGCCACATCCATCTCTCTCTGTCTCTCTCTTCTTTTTCTGTCCTTTCTCTTTATTTCTCCCCTCCTCTTCTGGTCAGAGCTCTAGTTTGCCAGGAGCCCCGATGCTCAGCTGTGGACCCAGGCAGGATCGTCTGCTGCAGCGGCAGTGGCATCAGCTGTGGGTGCAGCCAGCAGGTTCTAGAACCAAGACAAGTAACCTACCGGCAATTTCCACAGCTGCTGGTCCTGGCTACCTGGCATGGTAGAAGCTCCTGCCTGATGCTGAAGCTTCACAGCTGATGCTTCCAGCAACTTCCAGGTTAGGGGTCTGGAAAGGAGCTTCCACCACATCAGGAAGGTGGCGACATCAGCTGTGGAAGCTGATGGCAGGTTCTGCGTCTAGGCTCCTGAACTTGCTGCAGGACCACAGCTGATGCTGCCACCCTCCCAGTGTAGTGGAAGCTTTCGCCCAGGGCCCAGACCTGGAACCTGCTGGCAGCATTAGCTGTGGACCCAGGCAGAAGCTTCTGCCATGCCGGACAGGTGGCATCACCAGCTGTGACACTGCCTGTGGGATCCACATCAGGGCTCTGGAATCTGCTGGCTGAACCCACAGCTGACACCACTGCCTGCCTGCTGAGACAGAAGCCCCACCTGAGTCTGGAGCTAATGCCACTGCATCAAGGGCTGATGCTGCTGGGCAGAAGCAATCCCACCTGCTTGTTTGGCACTATGTGGTGGCTGGATCCACCAGCTGCCCATGGGCCAGATCCAGTGAGTTGGCTGCCATCCGCCTGTGGGCCAGACTGAATTTGAATCTGTTGGCAGGCTGGGGTTGGCCTGCGGGCCATATTTTGCCCACCCCTACAATAGATAATGGAACATGTGGTGGGCTTAAGATAAGGCTTATGGGTGTAGAGCTCACTGGAGCAGTTGATTGGCTTCTGATGCAAAGTGGTGGTGATACAGCTATTGCAAATTTTCAGTGGTGTCCAAGAAATGGAATACAAGACCTGTGTCCATCAGTGAATTTATTGCTTTGTTTCTCTCTCTCTCTCCCCTACCCACCTTGCCTCTCTCAGCAGTCCCCTCTTTCTCCTTCCCCTTCCCTACCCTTTGTATTCTAATCTTTCTGTTTCCTGTAGTCCCTTTACAACATCTGATGAAGTAAGCCCTCTGTTTACAAAAGTTACGCTCTACATCTCTGGTTTAGTTAGTCTTTAAAGGTGCAAATGTACCTTGCTTTTTGTATGAATGTGAATTTTGCGGGGAGCCCTTTCTGACAGCACTGTAACGTCAACCTGGTTAGGCATTGAAACAGAAAGTGATCCTTTTGTAGGGAAACCTTAAAGTGGTTTTACTTTGTTGCATTGCTAGCCCTGAAAATAGTTACTGAAGTGGTTCTGGAAGTTTGTAATCTCAGCCTGATATCAAGGATCATTTGCACTGGACTAATAGCTGCTGATATTCTATACTTTTCAGCCAACATATATTGTAACAACTAGGAAGTTGTGAAAAATTAAATTGTTTTGGTTACAACCACAGCATGACCAACTCCAATCAGTCATGTTTAAGTTTTTCTTTGCAACCGTGAAAATTAAAAACTATTTTTCCCCCCAGATAAAATTGCAGAAACATTCCTATTTAAATGACTGCCAGCTTAGGGTTTTAAGACAAACACCAAACATCAGAAGAGCTGGCTGTGCCAGGGCACTTGATGTGGCTTGAGAGGTCAGGCAGCTTGCTGAGCTACCAGCAGGTGAGGATCAGGGCTAATTGCAGAGTCAGATGACCCAGGGGGCTGGCAGATGAGGCTAGGCCTGATCAAGGGAGTCACCTGATTGGAGGAGGGCTGGGTTTGGCCAGGGTATAAGCCCAGACCCTGAGAGTAGGGCTGTCAGTAACATCTTGAGAGCTGGTGAATAAGGTTGCCGTATGTCCAGGGTTTCCTAGACTTGTCCTTTTTTTAGGCCTTCTGATCTCCAACCAGGAGGTTTTTTGAAGTCTGAACAAATGTCTGGGATTTTGCTCTGCTCTGCTGATGGAAGTCGGGGGAAGGTGATTGGAGGCAGGGGGCATCATGTGCGTCTGTGCATGCACATGCACGTGGTTGGCATGTATCCAGGCAGGGCCATGGGAGCAGCCCTGGCAGCTGCATACAGGTAAGTCGTGGTGGCAGGGGGTAGAGGGCCAGGGCTTGGGAACTGTTTGGGAGGGATGTGGAAGGGATGGGTGTATGAGGGGGTTAGGTTCATGCTGGCACTGGGGGATGGTGACTAGGCGTGTGGGCTATGGCAGGACACAGTGGTAAGCGGGAAGCACATGCCCCTCCAGTGAGGGAAGGGGGCGAGGGGAGGGGGGT